AGTTGTTTGGATAAACACAGTAAGAGTCAAAGATCCCAGCACTTAGTTCTCTGGGCTCTGAGTGCAAGCAAGGCTTTTACCATAAATCCCAGACTAAGTCCTCAGGTCAGTTGAGCTTGTCCTTCCCAATGGGGGTCCTGTCTCTTAGGTTGTAAAAGTTAGCATCAAAACCATGCATGTATGCCTTTTACAATGTCCCATTTCGATGCCAGGTAGCTGTGCCACTGCCCCGGGTTCATCCCAGTCCCACAGCGGAACCTCCCTTTTGGGGTGTTAGGAACTACAACAACTGAAGCCTGACTCAAGTAATTATGACCAAGTAATTATACCCAGGAGCAGATATAACTTAGAATCAATCAATTCCCAAATATTAGGAGCATAGCATTAATGGTCTTTCTGTGTTTAACCAAAGAACATTGCTCTATAGTAAAACATAGAAAAGGCTATAGGGGAGATAGAAAAGCAGGTAGATATATAGAGCACTTCAAATACAAAACAGTACAAATACAAAGTTCTGAATTACCAGAAAGTTTTGGCTTATGAATAATCAAGACTAACTTGGAAATTTGTGACAAAGAGAGGTAAAATATAAGGGAAAGGTTAAGGATGTACTTTAACCAAATTAGGTTTTCCAGCAAGAGCTTGTTAAGCTTCTCTAGGAGGAATAAAGGGGACAATTCACTGATGAAGTTTAAAGCACTTAGGGTTAATATCCAACACAAAGGAAAGGTTGAAGATACACTTTAATAAATTAGGGATGTTAGCAAGGGCATGGGAAGCTTCTCTGAGAGGAGGAAAGAGTCAATTATTCTGTGAAGCCTAGGGCACTGAGGGTTGATATCCAACAAAATGTGACAAAAATAAATAAAAAAATAAATTTGTAAAACGGAGAATTTTTTGATTGGTGCTGTTTTTGTGGGACACACATTGGAATGTTAAGCTCACCTGAGTTCCTATACTGACATTCCATTATACTCATGATACTCTGGAGTTTTTTCTTCTTTGTTTTGCTTTATGCTTTTGAGCCACACCAAGTGATGCTGAGGGGTCTTCCTGCCTCTGCACACAGGAATTACTACGGATGGTGTTTGGGGCACCCTATGGGATGGAACTGGTCAGCTGTGTGCAAGGCAAGCAGGAATTACTGTGGTTGTACTCAGAGGATACTGGGGATGGAATCCGGGTTGGCTGTGTGAAAGGCAAGTGGGGACCCTATACGATGCTGGAGATAAATACCAAACCCATCACGAGCAAGACAAGCTCCCAGCCACTGGACTATCTTTCTGGCCCCTTTTATTGCTTTTAATCTGTATTTTCATTTAAAGTATTTTTTAAAACTTTTTGGTGGCATAACCAGTTCTTATAGTAACGCATACAACAAGTCACTTAGAATGTTTACATCCTCACTCATTCACTGACACAGAAGTTCTATTCACCTTTACACTCTGATTAAACTTTGTTTTCTGAGTTCACTTTTCTTTTATTAATCTTCCCCCATCTCTTTATGCATTCCTCATTGATTTTTAACTTTTCTCTCAAATGCCTTTTTTTCATGTATTTTTCGTAGCGCCTATGATTTAATAACCAAAGTATTAGAACTATTGGGGGAGGCAGCCACAGTGAAGTGGGGAGGGCGCTTGCTGTGCATGCAGCTGATGCAGGTTCGAACCCCGACAGCCCATAGGGTCCCTGAGCCTCCAGGACTGATTTTTGAGTGCAGAGCCAGGAGTAAGCCCTGAGTAATGCTGAGTGTGGCCCCAAAATAAACAAAATAAAATTAGAACTATCTTATCTAGTTTAGATTAGTTAAATGATTCTAGGGTTGTTTACGGATTTGTTTTAAAAATTTTAGAGTTTTTAATTTTGGTAAGAATTTTCTATCACAATACCAGATGTTCTGATTCATGAATATTTTATGTACTCAAATGTCTTTTTCTGTCTTCCAAAAATGGGACTGGAGAGGTAGCACACCGTGTAGGGCATTTTCCTTGCACCTGGTTGACCTGGGGTCAATTCCCAGCATCCCATAAGTCCCCTGAGCACCACCAGGAGTAATTCCTGAGTGCAGAGCCAGGCGTAACACCTGTGAATTGATGGATGTGACCCAAAAAGCAAAATCATATCAAAAATATTTTCTACCATTTAAATGTTTTGACCAAGAATTTCTTGAACCAATTAGAATTATTTTATATGAGTAAGATTCCTGAAAATTCTTTAATTTTGCAATTTTTTATGACTTGTGTTATCAGAATGATAGTTTTCTTTGGAGAGTTCAATTATTAACCAATGTAGATCCTTCATTAACAGTGAATCAAGACATCTAATTATTTATATTTTTCAACGTTTATCTTCTTACTTGCTTTATCATACTATTGAAGATACAATGGAATAAAGTGAGCTGTAGTATATATTTAGTATAGTTCATATGTTCATACTTATGTTCATTCTCAGGGATCACTCCATCTGGAAATATGTGGTAGCCGAGATTGAACCCAGGACAGCTGCGTACAAGGCAAATATCCTCCTCACGGTGCTATTGCTCTAGGCCTTTTCCTATGCTATTTTGAAAACATTGTTTATTACTTACATGCATATTTTGTACTTCATTTAATAATTGGCTGAAACAGATTCTTCTTTAAATAACCCTGTGCTCTTTCACTCATGACTGTGCCTACATTGGAAATGTTGTGCAACATTTGCTTCTATCTAGCTGAAAAATTACATCAACCCAAATGAAAAAAAAAATGAGTTTAATTCCTTTTCCTAAGGACAATTTTTTTCTTTCCTTTCCACATTTGGTGATGCTCAAAGTTTCTCCTGGCCCTGCACTCAGGATTTACTCCTTGCAGTGCCCAGGAAACCATATGGGATGCCAGAGATTGTAACCGAGCTGGCTTCATGCAAAGCAAATGTCTAGTTCTGCACCATGACTTCAATCTATATGGCAACTTTCTATATTGTGAGCAGAGTCAGAATGTGTGAGGAAGGCCACAACCAGAGTGAGATGTGAGAATAAACGAATGTCAGAGGGTGAGGGGGATGGGTACTGAAAATAGTTTTCCTCCATTTCCACCAAAATGGAGCAGGGGTTGGGTTAGGCAGTGCCCCATTATTACTCTGATAATCTGTGAATCTGTGGAGGGAAGACAGTGATTTGGGCTCAAATAACTTTTCAGCGACAGAGGTTGTACGTGGATGCCCAGTGTTCCAAAATGAGTGACTGAGCATCAACTGGAAATACACTTATGATCAAAGGGAACATTCCAGTCCTCGGGGGTATATTTAAGGGGCAGAAAGGAGAGAGACTCACACATTCAACAAGGTTTTGTGTGTGTGTTTGTGTTTGTGTCTGTGTGTGTTTAATTGAATCACTGCGAGATAAAGATACAAACACCTTTGCACTGCATCAAGCCCATTCCTGGCAGTGATTGTGTGACTCTGCATGATGCTGGGGATCGTGCAATCACACTGGCCCCGGTCTCCTGGGACAAGCACTTCTACCCAAATAGCTGCATTTGGGTCCCGGGCCTGCTGTACTTGGGACCAACGTGTTCTCTCTCGCATCTCACTCTCTCTCTCTCTCTCTCTCTCTCTCTCTCTCTCTCTCTCTCTCTCTCTCTCTCTCTCTCTCTTTCCCCTTCCACAGAGCGTCCAGATAAAACCTGTTTTTATTTTAAAAGAACAAAGATTGTTAGGGATCTCCGACGCAGACAAGGACCACGCAGGAATGCCATCAGCAAGCAGGCAGTTTATTGAGCTGGTTCGCCAGAGTCAAGCCGTCCCACCGACACGGAGGCCCAGTAGGTGAGGCAAGACCCCGAGCTTCTTCAGAAGGGAGCATTTATAGGCCTATACTGGCCGTTACAGAGGATTTGAAGGTCTCAATTTACGTAAGTGCCTGCTCCGGGCTTCACGTGATATCTGGGTCTGAGGGCTGAGCCTGGACCCATGGCAACTGTTTCATTAGTCAACCACAAGGTCTTTTATGAAATTAGATTATACCTTTATATGGTCATAGCTCAGGGGCCCATACATTCCTCCTGGAACAAGCAGATAATAGAGGCGTGAGTGGAAACTATACTATCTTCATTGTCCTTGGCCCAGTCCGAGGCTGTCCTGTCCTAACAAGTTATGTGAGGCCAGAGAGATAATCCAGTGGGGAGGCACTTGCCTTGCTAGTATGGCTCCATTCAACGAGGGAAGGTCATTCATGCTGTTGGGCCGCAGGTGGGCCGGGAGGAGAGAGGCTGGCTTGCGAGAGAAGGCGGGGGACCCAAAGACATGGTGGAAGTTTGGGGGCCATGTGTTCTGGAAGGACCCACTGTCCTCCCGGGTACAAGTTTCAGTCTGATTGGGGCCTGAGCAATGACTGGGGTCAGTGATTGGGAGAACAAGGACAAGCGTGCCAGCCACAGGAACAGACTGTTGAAGCTCAGAGTCAGAGGCTCCTCTGGATTTTTAAAATTTGTGTGTGTGGTGTGTGGTGTGTGTGTGTGTGAAGCAAGATTGTTTTCTTTTTTCTTTTCCTTTTTGGGTGACACCAAGCGATACTCAGGGCTGACAGCTAGCTCTGCGTCCTGGAATTACTCTTGGATGTGTTCAGGGGAACACTATGGGATGCCAGGAATCGAACCTGGGCCTGCTGTGCAAGTCTGTGTGTCCTACCCACTATATCATCACTCGGGCCCAACAAGCTAGTTTTATAGAAACTTACTTAGAAAGAGTTAAAGAGAAGCACACGCTGGGGAGCGAGAAAAAGGCTCAGTCGGGCCGCAGTGATGTCCAACGGGGACACACTGGCCTTGCACATGACGACCGGGGTTTGATCACGGGCACCCCATAGTACTCCCTGTGACCCACCTGGAGTGATCCCTGTGCACCACCGTGTGTGCAAAAGCAAAACTAAAACAAAGCCAAGTGCAACCAGGAGGAAGAGCCGGGGCTCGCCAGCTTGTCACTGGCGGCCCTCTAGCCCCCGAATCCTGCCCGGGCACCCGCAGTTCTCCTACATGGATGCCGATGGCGCCCGGGAGAGCGGCGTGCAGCTGACCTTCCTGTGCCTGCTGAGCACCAGCACCTGGCAGTCCTTCACAGGCCTGTGCCAGAACAATGCCGCCAGGCTGGACTTGGCGGTGGGGAGCCAGGGCCTCAAGCTGCACTCCGGGAGGCCACGGGCCAGAAGTCGGGCCTCAACCAGATGGCCAGATGGCGGCGGCCGCACTATGGTCCCCCTAGGATGGCTAGGTCAGCGGAGTAGGCGGTGGGAGCGCGCAGGGGGTCCCTGTGACCGGGGAGGGGCCAGGCCAAGACCCTGCTGGAATTCAGCGCCCCCAGGGGTGGGTCCTCCCACTGCTGGATGTGGCGGCTTCCGGTTTCGGACAGCCTGACCAGAAGTTCGGCTTCCAATTGGGGCCCGTTTGCTTCAGTAGCTGAGAGTCTGGGGGTCACAGAGGAGAGGGAGGGACAGATGGGACGGCCTCACAGGGGCACTAATGGTGATGAGGCCTCCAGCCACCCTATTTCTCTTCTCTTGCAACTGCTCACTGTCAGATAAGAGGAATCTCCTTCCTTCTTCAGCCCCCAGGGAGATCACCAAGCCTCTCCCCTCCACTCTTGCGGGCACAGTGGAAGTTTAGCTGGAAGTTTAGCACCCCTGCACCGCATACAAAGGGCTTCCAGCTCAGAGTTGATACAGCCCTCCTAAACCTGCCTCTAAACCTGCCTCACATCCTGTTCCCCCAAATATCTGGTGCTTCCGTACCTCCTCGTTGACCACTGGATTCCCTACCATTCGAGGTAGACTGCTCGTTGGATTCTTCAGAAATTTCTGGGAACAGAGCAGGTGGGGGGTCCCCAAGTGTGGGAACCAAAGTCGGACTCCAGAAGGATGTGGGGCCCCCTGGCGGAGCTGTGTGCCCCCCATCTCAGCCCAACTCCAGACGCTGTCCCACCCCTGCCTCTGAATCCCTTCCCCTGAATCATATAACCAGATTAGGTGTGGACCAGGTGGGGTGGAGTGGAGGGTGGGGCATGACCCCGACCCCAATGGTGCTGCCTTCATTCTCAAGGGATCTGTGTGCCAAGAGGAGGCCTCCTATGGTAGATTCGACTCCCTTACACCTGCCAAGGCCTGGAGGGGATGAGAGTCCACCAATGCCCGGCTCTGTAGTACCCTTCTGGAACTCAGGTCAGAGAATAAACTAGTGAACTGTGTCCGCATTCCGTGCTGCCTGGGGCTTGCCCTACTTACCCTCTATGTGGAGAGACACCCAGTGGGCCGTGCTCCAAAACCAGCTGCCCGAGAGTGAACAGGGTGACACAGGACAGGCTTGCCTTTCTGCAGTACGATGTCTTCAACCAACTTGGTTCTAAAGATCTCCAGACCCCAGGTCCCCACATCTCAGCACTCCACATTGCTGAGGGTACCATCTTTCCTCCTGAGTTTTGGGGCTCCTGTACACATGAGAAGTCCCATGTCTTCTGTTCTTCATGGAGGAGACTGGCAGAGGCCAGATTCAACTCTGGCATCACCAGATGTCTGGAGTGAAGGTAACAGTCATCAGAGGAACTGGGGTGTGTTAAGAAGAATTTTAATTAACACAGGAATAATGTGCCTAAGACTGGGAGATCACCTTCCCTGGAAATTCTAAATACATCATTTCTGTCAAGATTTTTTTTTTGCTTTTTGAGTAACACCCAGCAATGCTCATGGATTATTCCAGACTCTGCACTTAGAAATTACTCCTGGTGGTACTTGAGGACCATGTGGGATGCCGGGGATTGGACCTGGGTGACTGTATGCAAGGCAAACATCCTACCAGCTATACTATACCTCTGGCTCTGAGGGTTTTGGGGGGCTGCTTTTGTGTGTGCCCACAGGGTTCTGGGGACCATTGAGTACCTGGGAATCGAACCTGGTCGGTTACAAGCAGGTTGAGATTATTTTTTCGTTGTTCTGTTCACTTTGAACAAGAAAAGTTATGAGCCCTCTTTGCTCTGTCTGTGGCCCAACTCTTTGAAAGGTTTCCAGTTATAATCAACCCCACGTTCAATCACCCCACATTCTGTGGATGGACCAACCCTCTTCAACAAAGAATAGGGGTCAGTGATACAGCAAGATACAGCTCAGAACCCACCAAGTTGGTGTGGGGGGATCTGCTATCAAGGGACTGAGGCTGTTTTGGTTTTATTTTGTTTGTCTATGGTTTGGGGGTCCAACACCAGCAATACTCAGGGGTTCTCCTGGCTCTGCACTCAGCCATCACTCCAGCATGATGGTGGGTCTGTATGGAGAGCCATAGAAAGAACCAGGGGCCTGTGACTGCAAGTCAAGTGCACTAACCGCTCTGCTTCCTCTGCAGCGACCCAAGCGGTTTACCTGATTAATGACCCTATACCTGATATTGAAGCAAAGAAAAGGTCTGGAAATCTGAAGTGTGGGAAAGTCTGGCCCTGGCAGTTGCACAAAATGCCACGGGATGGCGATGTGTGTGTTTCCATCCCTCCCCAGGCCCGTTTCTCTTACGAATTTTCCACCCTTGGGTTTGCTTCAGAGATAAGCATGGGATAATTAAGGATCAAGCAAGCCACTTCCACAGGTGCTGCAGTAGGAGAACGTGCAAGTGCTTTCTTTCACTTGGGTAACCTGGGTTCGGTTCCAACCTTCATAATTTGTGGGGTACATAACTGAATCTTCTCGTGGGTCAAGTGGGTTGCTCTCGCTTTGTCTCTGTCTCTGGACCAGGAGGAGTGCAGAGGATTGAAATTGACGTGGAAAGAGCAAGACAAAGTCATTTCTTTTAAGTTATTTCTTTTTAGTTATTTATTTTTGCTCTTCACTCTGAGCTAGAAATCTTCTGAAGCCACTTTTCTATGTCTGTGACCAAGCCATTGAGAAATATTTCCTGCTATGGGCGATCCACACCCCATCGTCCCACAGTGTGAGGGAGCCCAAACCTCTACTACAAGGAAGAGGCGGCATGGATACAGCAAGATACAGCTCAGAAACCACACATTGGGGTGAGGGAATCCTCCAATAAGGGACTGAGGCTGTTTTGGTTTTATTTGGTTTGTTCATGGTTTGGGGGCCACAAATCCAACAACGCGCAGAGGTTCTCCTGGCTCTGCACTCAGGAAGCACTCGGGCATGATAGTGGGGCTGTATGGAGATTCAGAAAAAGAACCGGGGGCCTGTGACTGCAAGCCAAGAGCACGAACTTCTCTGCTCCCCCTGCAGCGACCCAAGCGGCTTGCTTGATCTTTAATGACCCTATACCTAACAGAGAAGCAAAGAAATGGGTTGGAAACCTTAAGCGTGGAAAAAGTCGGGCAGCGGTAGTTCCGCTGAAATGCTACAAGATGGCACTGTGGACGTTTCTGTCTCTCTTGAGGCTCATTTCTCTAAGAATTTTCCATCTTTGGTTTTGCTTCAGTGTTCAGTATGGGGTAATTAAGGATTAAGCAAAATGCTTCCACAGGTTGCAGTTGTATGAGAGCCTGCGATCGCCTGTCTTTCACTTGAGTAATCTGGGTTCGATTCCTGCCTTCAGATCTTTGTGGGGTGGATAGCTGAATCACCTCGAGGGTCGAGTGGGTTGCCCTACCTTTGTCTCTAAACCCCGAAAGGTGCAGAGGATTGAACTGAGCCTTTAATGAGTAAGGTAAGGTTATTTTCTCACATTTATTGTTCTCTTCTCTCTGTACAAGAAAAGTTCTGAATGCACCTTGTGATGCCTGTGACCGAGCCCTGTGAATGTTTTCTGTTATGGGCAACCCAAACCCCATCATTCCACATTATGAGGGTACTCTAGCAGCATTCTACACCGATGTGGGGAATGGAAGAATATACAGTTCTGACACCCTCAAGTCATGGTGAGAGAATCGCTATCAAGGAACTAAAGCTCTGTGTTTTACTTTTCTTTCTTGTTTGTTCCTTTATGGCTGTGGCCACACCTGGGCATGCTCACGGCCTTCTCCTGGCTCTGCACTCAGTAATCACAATGGACTTGACTGAAGAACCGTAGGGGAAGCCTATGAATATACCCCGGTCCGACGGATGCATGGCAAAAGCCCTATCCGCTCTGCTCCTGTTGCAGCGGCCCAAGATGCGTGCTGGATCTTTAATGACCTCATACTTAACATTTCAGCAAAGAGAAGGGCTGAAAGTCTTAAAAGTGGGAAAATTTGGACCCAAGAATTTATGCTGAAACACCACGAGATGGAGCTGTGGGCATTTCTGTCCTCAAGGCTCGTTCCTTTAAGAATTTTCCACCCTTTCTTAGGGTTGCTTCTGTGTAAAGTATTGGGTAATTAAAGATCAAGCCAGGAGCTTCAAAGGGGAAGTGGTAGGGGAGTCTTGAAGGTGTGCGTCTTTCACATGGGTGACCAGTATTCGATTCTCGCCTTCAGATCTTGTGGGGTACATAGCTGAATCACCTCGAGGATCGAATGGGCTGTCCATCTTTGCCTCTGGACCACGACGGATGCAGAGGATTGAACCTGAGGTGGACAGAGCAAGGCAAAGCTGCAAGGCTGGAGCCATAGTACAGGGCATAGGGCGTTTGCCTTGCATGTGGCCAACATGGCCGACCCGAGTTCGATTCCACCACCACTCTCGGCAAGCTACCAAGAGTATCTTGCCCGCACGCCAAAGCCTGAGAACCTACCTGTGTCATATTTGATATGTCAAACACGTAACAAGTCTCACAATGTTACTGGGCCCGCTCCGAAAAATCCATGAGCAATGGGAGGACAGTGACAGTGACACTCTGAGCTAAAACACATCAGAAGCCACTTTGTTATGTCTGTGACCAAACCATTTAGAAATATTTCCTGGTATGGGCAACCCACACCACATCACTCCACGTTCTGAGGATACCCAACCCTATACTACAAGGAAGAGGCAGCATGGATACAGCAAGATACAGCTCAGAAACGCCCATGTTGGGATAAGGGAATCCTCCAATAAGGGACTGAGGCTCTTTTGTTTGTATTTGGTTTGTTCATGGTTTGGGGTCCACAAATCAAGCAACACACAGAGATTCTCCTGGCTCTGCACTCAGGAAGCACTGTGGCATGATGGTGGGGTTGTATGGAGAGCCAAAGAGTATGAGAGCTTTCTTTCACTTGGGCAACCTGGGTTCCATTCCAGTCTTCATATCTTGTGGGGTACATAACTGGACTCACTATTAACAGAGCTCCTCTCCCACAGTCCAGGAGCTTCTCCCCCAGGGACAGCTTGTGTCCATGGACTGAGCAGAACAGTCTCCGAGTAGCTTTTTCCAGGGGCACGCTTCTTTAAAGCATGGGCGCTTACTTCCTTCTGGTCTCCCACAGAAGACATCCCACCTGTCTTGGCATCCTCATGGCGCAGAGGGCATAATTGCTCACTCGAGATTTTGTCACAGTGCGCATTATCACAAAAATTCCTCCTT